TTCAACCGCTGGGGCACCCTGCTCGCCGTGGGCTGCAACGACGGCAGGATCGTCATCTGGGACTTCCTCACCAGGGGCATCGCCAAGATCATCAGTGCCCACATCCACCCCGTGTGCTCCCTCTGGTCAGGGAATCCCCTCCCACATCCACCCCCTGTGCTCCCTCTGGTCAGAGAATCCCCTCCCACATCCACCCCCTGTGCTCCCTCTGATCAGGGAATCAGGGAATCCCCTCCCACATCCACCCCCTGTGCTCCCTCTGGTCAGGAAATCCCCTCCCACATCCACCCTCTCTGCTCCCTCTGGTCAGGGAATCCCCTCAAACATCCACCCCCTCTGCTCCCTCTGGTCAGGAAATCCCACCTTCCCGGGAATTCCAGCCTTGCCTGCTGCTCCAGGGGAGGGAGGAGAGCTGGGATGGGGAGGTCAGGCTGTCGGGCTCCAGGATGGCCTGAGAGGGGAGGGATTTCTTGCAGAGGAAGAGTGTGATGTTCCCAAGTGGGTTGTCTGTGTCAACATGTGCAGTGTGGGATACAAAGGGGCTCCAGGAGAGCTGGAGAGGGGTTGGGACAAGGGGTGGAGGGACAGGGCAAGGGGGAATGGTTTCCTGTTGACAGAGGGCAGGGTTAGATGGGATATTGGGAAGGAATTCTTCCCTGGAGGGTGGTGAGGGGCTGGAATGGATTTCCCAGAAAAGCTGTGGCTGCCCCATCCCTGGAAGTGCCCAAGGCCAGGTTGGGGCAATCTGGGACAGTTGAAGGTGTCCCTGCCCATGGCAGGGGGTGGGACTTCAAGATGACCTTTAAGGTCCCTTCCCACCCAAACCATTGTGTGATTCCCTGATTTTTGTTAGATTTTACCTGTGTTTGCTGAGCACCAGCTGCTCTGGAGCCCCCTGACCCCCTGGGTGTGCTGGGGCCTGCAATCCCAGCCCCTGTGGGACTCCCTGGGGCACTTCAGGACATTTCCCTTTGGGAGCATTTGGAAATGCATTTATATTTACCTGCCAGGTTGTTTTCTCAGCTCCCAGGTTTACCTGTGAAGCTGCTAAACTTAAACTGTGGGTCTCCCTGGGGCACTTGAGGACATTTCCCTT